TTGTTTAAAAAAATGGGGTATAGTATGTGTAGCTTATTGATCCTTCCTTCAGACAAGAGGCTAATTGCAGGATTGTTTGATTGTTCAGCTAATGCTCTGACCAGCAGCAATTACCATTTTCTCATGGGGAGTGCCAAGGCAGCTATATAAAGGGGGTGAAAATATTTGGGTGGGGTTTGGTTTTGTTTCAGCTGGGGATATTTTAATACAAGGGCACCTGAGAGGCAGTCTTTGGGAATGCTTGGTTCTGGATAGGTAATTGGTTGTATTGAACTGGGTTCGTATTTTGCAAATGCCTGTAATTAAGCTAGACTTGAGAGGCAGAATGAACTGATTCTTTTTATGAATCATATTCTCTATCCCCTCTAGTTGCAGACCGAGGTACCATCATATCAGGATGTGTGCAGACAAAATGAAAGGAAGTCCCAATCCCTGAAATCTTATTATAATCTCTTTCTTTTATTTTCCTAACCAGTAGGTAATATACACCAGCAGTCGCCCCCTTCCTAGTAAAGACAACACAACGATACCAAAGAAAGATATCTGGAAAATGAATTTGAGGATGGATTCCCCCCCACTCCCCCAACAGAATCTGTGTCCTGGGAAAGAAATATTAATTAGTTTTTTGCCAGTAGTATAATTTTTATTTTCAGTGGATGGTAAATGTAGCTTTTCACAAATCCAAATCTTTCTCACACATCACAGTAAAGGGTGTGGTGGCAGATAATTGGTTAGTGCTAAGCCATGTGTTGTTATAAACTGCTAAAAGTCACAACTGATGAAAAGCTGGTGTGCAGAATATGACCAAGCTGAGAACTTTATTATAGAAGTGTGGGACCTGCCAGCTTGGAGTAGATGGTCTGATCTGTTGTTCACTGTGACACAGACCAGTACCAGCCCCTTATGAGTAATGACAGGAGTTATGATTGCCAGCGTGCTTACCCCTTTTTTGCATCTCCAGGTAGGTCTTGGGGACTGCTTTACAGTCACCTCCTGGACTCCATAAGCAGGAACTCAGATCTGGAGATGTTCTTGCCAGTCCTGGGAGGACACATGCCGAGTCTGGAAGGTGCCGCAGTCTTGATGCAAGTTCCGCTGAAACTGTGCAGTACTTTCATTGCACTGCCCTTTGCAAAATCACGGACACCCCTGTAATCTTTGTTTCCGTGACCTTATTTGCAAGTTCAGTAACTTCATTCTTTTCACGCTAACCCCTGAGGATGTTTCTTTGTTCCTGATAGTTTACCCTGCCCCTCTCCAATCCATTTCTAATTCAGAAAAATGGAGATAGAGTAGCAAGCACTGTCCTGCAAAGCTGGGAGGTTTGTTTTATCTCTACTTCTCCCACCCTAAGAAAAAGCTCTTCACAGTAGAATACAAATTCCCACAACATCAAGGTTTCAGAATTCAAGTGGCCAGAGCACCCAGCAATAGGAAATTCAGATCAAGTCCGAGAGCCGCATCCTGACTGGAGGTCATTGAGGCTACGCCGCTGTGGCCAAGATGGTTGCCTTCAAAGGAGGTCAATCATCACCACTACTCATAGTAGTAAGTGGCACTTGTCTTACACAAACCTGCCTTCTGGCCAACAAAACAAGCTTTGGTGTTGCAGAGGGTAGAGTGGCGCAATATGAAGACGTAAAAAGAGACCTACCTTCATTGTATCCTTGGGCAGTTCCCTCTTCAGAGGCGTCTGCCATTGCTGAGTAATTGGCTCAGCTAATTTGTAACTGACTATTTCTATGTAGTGTGTAAATATTTGCGTAAATATTTATTTACATAAATATTACTGCATATCACCAATATATGAGGTGATAAATTAAAAGTGTCCCACAGGGATGTTTACAACTCATTTGTTTGATGGATTATTTTTTTAAGGTTGAAAGGGGAAAGATCTGTCTATCCTTTTTTTTTTTCTTTTTTTCCTCATTTTCTTTTCTTCCCAGAAATTGAGAGTAGATGAAAAGGGTTTCAGATTGTTTATCCATAGAAACAATGTGATTTATCTGTAGTGTTGGTCCCTGAGAGTGAGCAATGCAGAAAGCAGCTGTAATTTAATACTAAGCCGATGAGAGGTGCATCGATTTTTACAGCAGGTGAAGATTATGCAAGAGTAGCCTCTAGCATTACTTGTGGAGCAGGGGAGGGAACCGTCTCATTTTTTGCCTGGTGGTGACAGTATAGATTTTTTTACACAACTCAGCAAAAACACCGTTCTACGGGCATCATAGCAGGTTGCTTTAGCTTTTGATTTCCAGTTAACATATCTCGACAATTTTGCTATATCTAGGTCTTCTTTTTTGGCGACTGAGCATGTTGTTTATTTGCTCTTGTTTTTTTAGAAGGAGAAGAGAGGGAAAGGTAGTTTTATTTTTAGTTCATTGCAGGCACCTTGTGAATATTTCATTTTCCCTTTCCCATTTGGTACACTTCTGTGATGGTCTGAGAGTGGAAGAAACTCATTTTACCAGTGGAATCTCATTGTTTTATTTGCAGAGAACTTGAATTGCTGCTGGGTGGATGTCAGGGGAAGAGGGAAGGCAAGGAGAGACAGGCATGTTCCTTGTAGCTTTGCAACTCCATTTGGTTTAAACTTAAACTTTTTCCTAAACTGCCACTCCTGCAGAACCTATTGTTGAAAATAGTGGGGAATTCAGGCTCCTGTTTTCATTCATGACTCAGCAAAGTTAACAGACTGTGTTAAATTACTGAAGGAGCTTTGATGTGATTTCCTGTATGTGAGAAGTGGAGAAAGCCAAACCTATTACGTTACGCATTACTATTCAATGTAAAATAAAAGGTGCTCACTTTAGTCCCCAGTTGCAAGTGAATATATCACTCCCATTTGCTTTCATTACATTTACAGTGAGAACAGCAGAAGCAATCATTTAAATCCAATGTAATACAGCTCTCTTTGGGAGAGCAGTACTTACAGGTGCTGCAGAAAATAAGTTTCCCTTTGTAGAGGCTGGGGGAGGAGGCTGGCAGTATAAAAGAGCGCATCTTCAGATAAAACTAGCAACCTCTGCAAAGGCTCCTGCGATAGTGTGACTGACCATTACTCAAAAACCTTGGTCTAGCACTGCCCCTGCTCTAAGCACTGTGTTCTCTAAAGGTGCCCTGACAGGGACTTACCCTCCAGCACTGGAACAGGCGATGCCTCCTTAGCTGTAAGAGAAAGTGCCCGATGCTGCTCATCAGCTGAAGGAGAAATCTCCCCGAAAGTGGTATTGCTCTATCACAGTTATTGCAAGCTTTGACAGACCGTGATTTACTTGGTCGGTGCGAGCAGGGCTTGTGCATCGTCCTCATGGTTGGCAGCGAGCGGCTGTGCCCTGCCCATTTTCCAGTGGTAGCTACATTGTGTGTTTGACTTTGTTTGCCCAGTTCAGGAGGCTGTTCTCCCCCTTAGCAGTTCTTTCCTCACGACGGTTACGAGCAGATTGAGAGGCTGAATGTTAGCAGTTTGGTTTTTTAAAAGATAAATATCTACCGTGTGAGACACTAATACTGCAGGGTCCAGATTTCTTAGCCTCTCGTTCAATATGCTCCATTTTGTCATTCTTCAAGCATCCATGGGAGATACGTATTATAACTCTGGTGAAATCAAAATCCGGTATGCAAAGACATCACAAGTAATGTTATCCCTGAAGAAGGCTTTTCTCATTTTTTCTTCGGTTATTTTGAGGGAGACACTGCTCTCGTGGAACCAGCTGGCAGTCTATCTCTGTAAACCTTTTTTGCTGCTGTGAATCAGGATATAACAGTGAAATTTTCTGTAGCAGAGGGAAGCCGGCAGTTGGGCGTCTGTTAATAGCCTGAAAGTAACTAATGAGGATGTGCAGTTGGAGCGATTGATTGAATAGCTGCAGTCCTGTGTGTTTCTTTTTCGCTTGCTCGCTTGCTCTCTGCAGGCTGTGGGAAGGGAGGGGGAACGGAGAGATCCAGCTTTCTCTTAAGTGGAAGTAGCACGGATCCCCAGGGCCAGGCAGCCAGAAATGGAAGTTTAAGCTGCATCTGTCTCTTGAAAGGAAAACGGCAGCAGTCAAAATGTCACTATCTGGAGTCACGGCTTACTCCTTTTCTTTAAGATTTGGAAGATAACAATGGACTTTCTGCTAGGAAGTGATTTTTTCCCTCCCTGTGTTGGGGGATGTTTTGTGAAGCTGGATTCCTTTAAGTCTGGCAATTGAGCTGGAGATGGGCAGCAGTTGTGATAAAGGTATCTATATGTATGTATATCTAGCTTTATATAAAAATGCATATATGTACAGTATATGTGTGTTTGTGTAGAGATTTTTAATAGTGTGTATGCTTTATTATGCTATTATTCTAATATTTATACTAGAAAAAGATAAGTGCGTCTTTTATGAATATTTGTGCTCATCAGATCAGCCTGCATGGATTTAAGATGCCAAAGTCATATCTTAGTAAGGTCATATTGCAAGAATGAGGAGAAGTTGACCTATTTTTTTTTATCTGCAGAGATAAATGTGTCATATTACCTGGGCAGTTGATGAGTCTTCTGCTGGTTGCATGGTTTGAGCAAGTAGTGTGATCATATAAGACCGAACTTTGACCTTTCTCAAATTGTGTTCAGCTGTGACTAAAATTGAGCTTCCCTGTGTCTTGATTTTAGTTATCCGTTTAATTACTGCATTGCTTATGTAAAAAAAAAAAAAATTAAAAAAAAAAAAGTTCTCTGAATACTATCTCACAATCTAGTAATAGAGTACTAAATATGTTTGAGTATTGATCTTTACCAGCATTTTTTTATTTTTATTGCCTACAATCAAGTCAGATTCACAGCCTTGAATCTGTCAGTGGCAATGCCATTGTGATTTAGTAAGTAAATAAGATGTAGAAAAATAGGTGAGTGTAATTCAGCAGTTTAGTAATGCGCTTGAAACTTTGCTGAGGTGTCTGTCCTACAGAGCATAAAACCTGACTATTCCCCACCCCCCGGCATCCATTCACCTTCTTTTTCTTCTCTTCCTTAGAGGTCCCAGCAGAGAGATCTCCTCGCAGACGGAGCATCTCCGGGACCAGCACCTCTGAGAAAACCAACTCCATGGATGCTTCGAATACTTCTCCTTTCAAAGTGCCAGTAAGTGTGCCTTTCCTGCAAAGGAATTTTTCTCATTGAATAGGAAGAGGACATGAAAATATCACAGTGTACAACTAAGCTCGGGGCGGGGGTGGGGAGCATTGCTATCAACTGTCATGTATTATCTCTGGTAGATCCATAACTTGCTTATTTTCCTTGCCTTGATCTAAAGTTGCAAATAGTGAAACTTATCAGTGTTAATGTGGGCAGTGACCTATATAAATACTTTTGAAGTCGCCACCAGGGATTGCATTATGTATTCAATTTTGACTAGGAAAAAAGTTCGTTTAGGTTGGCGATAGCATGTTATTTTCCCTCATGCCACTGAAGTCCATAGAGAATTAAAATGACTTTATAGTTTATTCGGAAGCTGATGAAATTTCTGCAGGTGTGTTCATTGCTCTTTAGCTATTCACTTTTTGTCAAGAGTTTGGTTGGCTGTGAGTCTGCATGAGACATTTTCAGCTAGAGTCCAAATTTTCTTGTTTGTATCAGTCTTTGGTCAGTGCATCCAAGAGCACAAAGGCCTTTCTATTATTAGACTGAGGGCAAATGCTTCAAGTTAAAATGAGGTGCTCTGTAATTTTTTAACAATATTTGTTCATGTTTTAAAATGCCTAACTTTAATATTGCAAGTATTTTCATACCCCTCTATTTTTGGCAAGTAATCTGTCTACTTTAAAACCTGAGGAAAAACAAAAGAAGAATTATCTAGGGAACATCAAGTTTTTTGTATATTTCTCTATGGACATGAGTACCATTTTTGTACCTTGGTGTATATGTTCTTGCTTTGCTTTAGACAGCATGCATCCCTTTTAAGCACACTTCGTAGCTCACTTTAGATCCATATGTGTGTGAAACTTGGTTTTTTATTAAATCCTACATTGTGTCATTTTAAAAATAAACCTGTAAACTCATGATTTATTGGAATTGAAAAAGGGACCAAGGAAGCAGTGAATATACTGAGTATCCATACTTGGTCCCTTTTCAGAGTCATAGAATAATATAGATCGAAAGGGACCTCCGGAAGTCTCTGATCTATCCCCCTCTTCAAAGCTGGACCAGCTTATATCTGGTTGCTCAGGGCATTCTCCAGTCAGGTGCTGAAAACCTTGAAGGATGCATACTGCACAGCCTTGCTGGACAACCTGTTCTGATATTTGACTATCCTCATTGTGAAGAATATTTCTTTTGTAAAGGCTTTGTTGTCAGAACAAAACTTGAACTTCCAATGTCTATTGAAAGACCATGAATCACATTTTCCTCTAGTTCAAAAAATATCTGAAGTAGCAGTTAAAGCAGAATATATTGCTTAGCCTTGAGAAGAGAAAGCACTGAGGGAAATCTTAGCAATGTGTATAAATACCTGATGAAAGGAAATAAAGACTACGGAGCCAGGCTCTTTGGACAAGAGGCAGTGAGCACAAACTGAAATATAAGAAATTCCATTTAAACATAAGAAAAACCTTTTTTCACTGTGAGGATGATCAAGCACTGGAACAGGTTGGCTGGAGAGGTTGTGGAGTCTCCATCATTGATGATACATTCAAAAGCAGACTGGCCACACAGTCCTCAGCATCTTGCTCTAGTTTACCATGCTTTGAGCAGGAGGGTTGGACTACACAATCACCAGTGGTGCCTCCCCACCTCAGCTATTCTGTGATTCTCTGAACTATCCTTTATCACTTCAATGACCTGTTTTCTGGGTGGTCCTTGGGGAAAAAAGGGTCTTGGTCTAGTTGCATGTGAAGTTGTCACAAGAATATTCTGTTATGTCAAGTTCTGAGACTTTTATGCTGAACCCATGGTCCACACAGTTCCAGGAGGATTTCTGAACTCTGAGAGCTTTCAAAAGTCCTAGCTATTCTCATCTTCATTTATAAGAAATTCTCTGTCTTCTTTGTGTTCATCTACAAGTAATTGCCCTAGCCTTTATGTATACATGCATTGTCATAGTCTTCGTCTAACAGCTGCAAGCTCCATATCAGAAGTGTTTGATTACTATCTGTATTGTTTGTTTTATATGCCTCCTTTTTAGTTTGTTCCTAATTTTTGTACAGTTTTTTTTAATTGATCCTATCTTTTAAGTGATGTTTTGATGTTTGTCTAATTCTTCTCTAATAGTTCTCTAATACTTCTTAGCTCCAGCTCCCTTTCAAAACAAGAACATTGCAGAATGTTTCTCATTTCCCCTGGCAGGGTATTGGGCTTTTAGGACTCTGGCAAATAGGCTCAGGAAGCAATACATGGCTGCCTTTCTTGGGCATAAACCAGCAAAAAAACTAGAAGCTATTTGTGCCACATGTAGCTGGTATTATGCTTCTTTGTCTGCCTGGCCACCTGTATACCCAGGAGCATAATGCACCCTCCTGTCTTTCTCATAGGGACAAGGCTTCTGGCTTTGTAGGTTTTGCTCTGAATAGCCCATTTATATGCTGTTACTCCTTAGCAGGTTGTGGTGCAGGTGGGGGCTGAGATCATTCTGTTTTAAAACGTGCCAACTTCTGATCTCTTTAAAAGAGCAAGCTGCAATTAGAAGTCAGATTGCCTAAGAATACAGATGATCTCAAGCCAAAACTACTGAAATAAAATACCCTGTTAACTTTGCGGATTGGCACACATCTAATAGGTGGATGATAAGATGGGGAGGAATCATGTTTCTTCCTTTGATTTATATTAAGAATTTCCCAGCTCTCAGAAGTAGGTAAGATGACTTGGGCACCTTGTGGAAGTCTCAGATCAGTGGTCTGAGCTTCAAGTGAAGTAAGGGGTGCTTATAATGGCTTCAAATTTGTGCATGTGTGTGTGTGAGGTCATCTTTATTTGACAGGGAGTTATTGTACCTATAAAGGAGATTAATAATAAGAGAACTTGCGTTTTTGTTTTTCCAAACATTGACACCTACAGTATAGGTTGGAAGGTTATAGGTAGCTGCAGTGTAGTGCTGTCTCAGTTATTCTTTCCATGGACCTGACTCTGTGCCATACCTCTTCTACTCACTGCTAGGATTTCTAACATAAAGCAGCTTAAGGCAGGGGACAGCTTAACCTTCTTCCATACTGATGGAAAATTATGCTGAGACTTTCATAATAAGTTGCTTTTGCAGCTTTTTAAGTTTGCCTCTCAGAAAAGCTATTTAAAAGCTGTCTTCTCAATAGGACAGTGGCTTCCAGCATGTTCTGTGCAGTTTTTTTTTCCCTTCCAACACCAGGCAGTGGTACTCACTCAGAACAGGGCATCTGTTTTTTTAATACTGCTAATTGGCATTTGTTTAGCATCTGGAATTTTGATTCATAACAGCATAATGGCCTTTAAGCGAACATTTCCTTGACGAGACATTTTTTAAGTAGTCTTTTCAGTGGCAGTGGTCAATGAAGGATTTATTTTCAGGGGCTGACGTGTAAAGTTCAGGAAATTAGCCATTGTACCTCCTGCATGTGCACTGGAGGAAAAGACATATGTTTAAATTTACTATTGTGTGAAAAGTAGAATTTCAGTTCTTACAAACATACTTTTTCTCGGGACTAACCACTATATGGACCAGCATGTGCAACATGTTTGTTCTGCTTATCTCCCACCAAGGGGAATAAAGTGTATTCTGCTAATGCTGACATTGCACAGCACAAGGCATACATAGAGATAGGAGCTCTTGGTGCCTGTCCTTCCTTTTTCTTCCACATTTCCCCAAATATTCTTGTCTGCAGTTAAAACATTAGTCTACATTTATGTTCTGTTGTGTTATTGCCGTTTGACAATTTCCAAGCATATCTGGGAGGAATATTGAGAGAGAACAGAAGGGCACAAAAGGTAGGAAAATTGAGATGAGGAAGCGTGTGTCTTCTCACATATAGACAGATGTGTGCTGTTTATAGATACGCATATATAGGAAAAGTCATATTTTTAATAATGAATATTATTTGACTGAACAAATAGGAAGGCATACGGAACTGGCTAGAAGTAGGCATCGTGACGCATAGGTGGGCGAGAAACCAGCTTTTCCCTTCCCACACACACTATGTCCTGGCAGAGTGTCTCAGTCTCAGTGCATCCCGTTCCCTACTGTTGCACTGTTGAGCCCCAGCAGCACTGCCGCAACTGACCATATTCTCTCATTGCTCTGGCATTGGAATTGAGGGACCAGGGCAAATATGAGATTATCAAAATCTTCAAACCTCCTGCAGTGGCAGGGTAGAGAGGAATTGCTAATCCACTCTTCAGACTCGCATTGTGCTCTCTAATTTTTGCTTCTTTGGGGTAGGGTTGTTAGTGAGTTGTTATTACAAATAATATATGATTCATCCATGTCTTCTGGCTATTAGGAAAAAAGGCAAGAAAGAGGCGAAGAAACAAGTGCAAATGAGATAGGAAAGCCAGAACACAATCTTTGAACTAAATAAAATTATTTTTATAGGAACCCTGTGCGCATGTGATGGGAAGACTGATACTTACAGATTGCCTGCCTTGGTTTGTTTCTAGTCAAGAGTATAATTGGATCTATAGAAATACTGTCTGCCTCTTTGCTCTTTAAGAGTACTGCTAAATGGAACAGAAGACAATGCAGCCAGCCTAAGTGAAGGTCACAGCTTGATGAGATCTCACGGCTGCCCAGCCTCATCTTTTATGCAGTCAGCAAGATTGTTGCTTCTCCAGAGCACAGCTCCACTACCGTCATGCTGCCAGGTTAGAACAAGTCTGATCTTTTCTGGCCATGTGACCTGATGGCATACAAGTACATCTTTTTAATTCTGCGTCAGCGCCAATGCAGAGATGGAATTGTTGATTTACCTTAGTGTGAGGCATCGCGGCATCCTTCATGAAAAACTGGCTGTGCTCAAATCTGTCCTCCCTGTTGTAAGATTAACATTTTTCCTTCCACTTTCCACTCTTTTCTTACCGTAACACATTTGAATCTGCTTTCATTTTTTATCATTTGCCTGTGATGTGATGGCTTAGGTATGCTGGCTATTATTCTGCAGATGTTGCTGGAAGGCATAAATGGG